GCTCATGAAAAAGCCAGAACATTTAATGACAGCAATCGTCATAAACTGTGATTAATTGCTGAGGACTGAGTTCTCAATGTTTGCACACTGCTCAAGCCTTCTGTCCTAAATAGCTATCTTTAAAGGGTTTATAGGTTTTGTTTTATAGATTGCTTTCAAAAAGTGTAAGAAGCACTTTGGACAAATGTCCCTGGTGCTTAAGGATAACAAAACAATCTCTCACTCCAATTTTTTAGACAACATTCTGGAAATGGAATTCCTCAACCTTATATTTATTTAGCAATTTCCGAAAACCTGCTTTGATATAGTGTGGACCCCCGCCAGCTTCCCATAGGTACCTGCGCGACGCACCCGCAACGCACGCCTTCAGTGCGTCTCCTGTGCTAGCTTCTGATGGGAATCCTCCTTTCTCTCCTTTTTTTTGTTTTTGGTGTACTGTATTCTCTCTATTTTAGGTATTAACAATTCGCGATAACCGGTGACGAGATTTCACGCGCTCTAATAGATCTAAGAGCTTCAGTCTTGTGTAGTAGTCTTGTGTTTTCCCTTTTCTATGAAAAATTGAGATTTGATTGGATATTAAGATAATATTCTTTCAAAAGCTCTTCTTGATGAAATAAGAGTCCCTTTAGGTTTGATGTGTAAGGTGTAGACAGTGTCTCAAGTCAAAATTGAGCCTTCCGAGAAGCCAGTAGGCATTTTTCTACTGAAATGTCCACTTTTTTGAAATCGTTGACCAGACTGGTTTCTAAGTCTACGGAGAGAAATGCTTTGAGAATGCTGTTATTCTTTAATTTCTTTACGTATACTTATTACAACCTATCCATCAGTACAAGTTCGGAATATGCATCCATTGATTGAATTTCAGGTACTCATGGAAGTTGCCTGCGTTTCGATCTTGCATACGTCTCTTTCGAAGTGAACCTAGGGGTTTCCACTTTGCATTTTTCTCCTTTGTGAGCATAAATGTGCTCTACTGCTCATGAGTGAGGCAGGAGGCATTGAGAAAGGCGCGCGCTGCGGGAGTACCTATGGGAACCTGGCCGGGGTCCACACTATAGAAATCTTTTTTACATTAGCGGAAGAAATAATCCATCTTCTTTTACTGACTCAGAATCATTTCCTATTCGCTTGAGTTAGAAAAAACATATTCAATCCTTCACGTTCTGCTTCCTCATTGCAACAGGTGTGGCTATGATTGGTCAGCGTACCAAAGGGGCGGAGTAAGATCCATGAAACATATGAGCTGCTGGGCTGAAGCAGAATCTCTTTTTCAATTTTCTGATCCAATCCGTCTGTATCCCGGTTATAAAGCCCATTCGGCATCGAGACAGCACACAAAACTTACGCCAAGTGAAGTTGAAAGAGACCCTGCAACTTTCTTCGCTGAGGCGCTCATTGGTTGAGAGTGACTGTGATTGGTTAGTTAGCTAAGGAGGCGGGGCGTGGCCGTTTGAATCGTATAAGAGCTTTCACGGCTAAGCCAAGTCTAAATACCCACACATTCTAAACTGTAGACTCATTTTCGCGAATAAGTCTGCAAGCGATTCTTTATAAAAATGTTTTTTCTCATGAACAAGTCCACTAAACTTGACCTCGGCCTGGAATTTTTCATATTTCGTGCAACTCGTATATACACCATTTCTGCCCATTAAGCTCATAAACCTTGAAATGTTTGGAATCGCCGGCATACAAAATTGTGCCCATGCATCCTTATTTTCAAGGGCTTTTACCCCGCAAAGTTAGGGAATTATAGGGCTTTTTCCTTATCAAACTTAACTTTCCATAGGTAAAATGTAAAACTGAAGCTAACCTATGCATTTTGATCTCTGCCCTTTCTTTTCCCATTTGTTTGAAAAGGAACATCAATTGAGCAATGATTTGCAATCTACCGTTCTCATGCCCGCCTTATGAGGTTCTTGAGCGTGGTGGCTGAGGAATTGCCAGGCAATCTTGTCTTCTTTGCAATCTACATGGGGTTTCAAACCAGTGCTATATCGTCTTTTTATAGAAGACTAAAATCATAGAGCACCCCGGGCTTTATTTTGTCTCAAATTACTCTACGCAAATCAATGCGTCACCTTGTTCTCTGTTTGCTTTGTAATTCCACAATGGCACTTTGTTGTAAGCTGGCTATCTACAACTACAATAACAATATCTTTTATCAGGTGTAAATAATGTTTGGCTCGAAAACACACCTATAAATATATCTGAGTATTTTGAAAACAAACCACTACAATGCTGATTATTTTTGCAGAAATTGCTTCAACTTATGTTGCTATTACCATTATTGCAAACTACTTAGGCAGCTTTTTGAAAATTTTTTGATGCTCGATCAGCTTGGTGGGAAACGGTGGTCTGATGGAGGTTTCACTATTTTATGACCTACTGCCCATATGCAAAAGCGTTCATTTGGATGCCTTAATTTCTTTTTAATCAAAATTTCCGGTTCTGGTCTCCAGTTTTCCTTTCTTGCAGACCTTTTCTCAGTGCTATCATAAAAATCTGCAAATGCAGAAGCTGTGGAAGTTAGACATTGTTATGTTCATTGTGACTAACTGGCTTTCTACTTCATTTACTATATCCATTGAATGACGACAAGGTGATGAATCTAATAGGAACTTCAATAGAAGACATTATGCAGAAAAGCAAAGCACCATACAAGGTAGGATCACGAAAACTTGATGAAATGAATTACGTAATGCTAGTCTACATTTACATATGCTTCCATAGTTTTGAGATGGTCTGAATTATCGTCATCTCTTCCTCTCAAGGTAGTTATAGACGAATGGAATGGCGTATATGGGGGAATCAAGAAAATCAAGTAAAACGTGTTCTCACTTTGCTGTCTGCTAACTCTGAAGGCATCTGGACTTTTTATCTCATAATTGATATTGAAGAACATTCATGATCTAAAATCTCGCGTCCATTAGTTTAACGATCAAAAGGAAGGCAAGGCTGAGATCGAGGAATGGGATGGGTAACCGATGTCGAGTTTGACAGTTTCATGACAGTGGTGTTTAAGCTATTTTCAAAAATCAAAATTCCATAGAACACTTTGGAAAGCATAATACAAACCACGCCCTTTTCTAAGCAAAAATATAAACCTCCATGTCTACCATATATATTTTTGTTGATTACAAGTCCATTTGCATGCATCACATTTTCATATTTTCTAATTTTTATGAAGGGATTGCATCTCTTCTTGCCTTCATACTATGCCTAAGAAATAAAAATTTTCTTCTACTCGCTTATCACGTCTCGCTATCTTTACGCGATATATGAAATGTCATGATTATTACTAGTTACCTTTCAAAGCAGCAAGCCAGAATGATGTCAGAGGCGATTTTCTGACGGAAGATTGTGGCATTAATTGATGCGTACATGGTGAGAATATCTGCCCTGGCCTAGCATTTACCAAACATGAAGAGATTCTGCCCAAAATTGCTCTACCGTTTGCTTTATAACTATAGCTGGAAGACTTCCATATGCTTTTGTCCTTGTAGGTTTCGTTTTTGAGTTCTGGGGGTCCTTTTTCATATTACTTGCGCATTTTCTTTGATGAGAAGAATCCGTTCTTTCCCATATTCGCGTAGAAAAAGAGTAATTCGAGCGAATAGTACAGGTGGACTAGGAAATGTAGGAACAATAAAAATGGAGCACCCTGTCGGTAGTAGAGCGCAATTATTAGCGCGGCTCTTCCATCTCACTAATGACGATGCACTTTCTGCAAAACTATATAAGGTAGCAGAGGGGGGGGGGGGGACTCATTTGCTCGTGCATATGCTTGCTATGGTTCAAGACGAACTTATCTGTAGAATGCTACATTTTTAATATTTGTCATATTTTTAGTTATGTCAGATTTAGTCAAATTAGTTGAAGAGCAAACTTTATGCTGATCGAGCGCCTCTCTAGAAAATTTTGATTTTTGAGAAAATATGAGAAAACGGCAGATTTGTTATTTTTTGGCAATTTTTAAAAAAATTACAGCTTTTTATGAAGGCGTTCCAATTCCGTTCTTCCCATAGAGTAATCAGCACAAATTTTCTCGTTTGAATAGAAGATCATAAAACTTTGGGCAATGACTGTTTCGGATTTTTTTGCGAAGTTTTTAGACTTTTGGTAAGCTTGCTTGAAATCAATTAATCAAGTAATTTCTTTTCACATTTTTATCCCCCAATCTGCACGTTTTGAAAAAGCTCAAGGCCCTTGAAAACGAGCACGATCTCCTCTATATAATAACCCCAATAAGAAGCAAAAACATACGAAGAGAAAGAAGTGCAAGGTTCTGGTTCAACCTGACATTTTTCCTCACCCTAAAGTAATCATGGCTGAAATGCCTTTCCGGCCAAAAATCGCTAAAAAATTTCGATCTTTTTTCTTCCCATTGTGTCCAAGACATCGTTGCAGATAGAAAATTGCTATTTTCTTTTCTATGACTTTTAGAATGGTCAGAAAGCTCTTAAAAGGCCCATTATGTACAGACGCTATTCAAGCTAAATATATTTAGACAGCAGTCAAAGAGCAGTGAAACTAGAGTTTGCCTGGCATAAGTTTGTGCGCTTCTCTGCTCGCAGTTTTTCATTTTTGAGGAATGGTTTTCAAAGTTAATGAGATAAAATCATGGAGGAGGTCTCGTTTTCCGTGGTGGCTGTTTTTTTTTACGAAATCGAAACTACATTTGAGATTCCATTACTTCTTGATTAGTAATTTCTTCCAACTAATCAGAAGAAATCAGCGAGTGCGGACTCAAAATTATTCTTGTTAACACCACCACATTTTTATAGAAAACGAAACTTCAAGTTTGCGACTTCAGAATATGTCAGGGATTTTATGACTATTAGTGGACAATTTGTGGACAACTCTCATTTAGCGTGCCGTTTTTAAAATCGTTCTCATTGATATCCTCGTATCCTCTTTCAAATTTGATAATCACAGTCTGACGCTCGTATAATACCTAACTTTCCTTACTTTACGAAACGCAAGTTTACTTTTTTTGCAGAAACGATCACAAATGGGATCAAGCATGGGAAAGTGCTCCTACGGTGACGATCCATATTACAAACGAAGACGAAAGACAGGTGATATAATAAATTTTCTCGATCAAGTAAATAATTGCAGTTTTTTCAGAAATAGGCGACAACTTCTCGAAAGAGTACTCCGAGTACTGGCGATGTCCTCCACGAAAAAAGACTTCGGATACGTTTGTTATAGAGAGAAACGAGTACACTTTCTCAAATAGTGCAATGTGTGAGTGTGTTTACTCAAGCGAAAAAAAACATGGAATGGATGGGAATTTGGGAAAATAGTCTAAATATAGAAATGTGAATAAATTGTCACAGAAAGTCATTCTGAAAGGAGAAAATGAAAAGCTTAGGATAGAGGAACTTCTGACAGAAAATTCTAAAACTTGAAACTTTTCCGCTTAGCTTGATTCACTGAAGTTTACCTAAAGGAGAAAATCGAGGTAACCGATTGATTTCTAAATATTTTTCCTTAAAAAATCTACTTGTTTAGCAATGAGTTTCACTGGGTTTTACTTCTCGTATCGTTCACTTCAAAATCACCATAGCTCTTTGTATGCTAAAAAAATCAATATATTATTTATTTTTTGCGGTTAATGAGCAGGTTTCATCCATTCACCCATGAATAATTTTAGATGCATCTTCTGCATTCGACAATAGAAGACCGCAACCATTTGTGTCATCATTTTCGAAAACGGACAAATCCTCACAATTTCACAGTGGTTTTGCTCCAGTGACATCAAAGTCATCAAGCAAATGATATTTATGGCTTTCATTACGATCGAAATTGTTGTACGCAAATGACAAAACTGATGCTATAATCCTCACGTTTCTACCCCTGTGTTATATCATAATTTTGATGCATAAATGTATGCTTATCACTGCAATCATATCACTTTTTGAATCTAAGAAATGTTTGGAATTATCATCTCATGGCCCCAGTTCATCATTCTGTTGCTTTGCTCTAACTCTTGAAATGTGCCGTATAAATCGAGAATTTCACTCTGTCGTGCTTTGTTTTTTATCTTCATTGTATGTAATGAGGTTTTTGGTTTTATGAGGTTCAATAAATCATTTTTATGCAGAATTTATGAAACTTGCAATCGCTTAGATATACAAGAGTCCCCAAATGGAGAGATGTGGAGGGATGTCAAGATTTTTCAAGTTTTGCTCAAATCAAATTCTTCAAATAACTGACATGCAAATAATCTTGCTCAGGTAGCGAATGAACAATCAAGCTTGTCTGATTGTAGAGCGCAAAGGAATGTCAAGCGGTGGGCACCTTGTTGGCCGATTTTCGCCATCCCTTTATTCAATGATACGTATTTTGGCATGAATGAAAGTAGACTCTCGATACATACAGGGTGTCCCAAAAAGATGTGCACACTGTTTGATTTTGAATAACTCTCTTATTATGAGGTCTTTCAAGAAGCGGTAACCGCCATTTTGTAGGGCTGGCTTCAACTTAGATTTGCAGTATGGAGCGAATCACCGACCGCTCTTCGTTACTGTAGGATTACGGTAGAAACTTGGAACATATGGTGTCAATGTGGAAAAAGCTGCCGTTTCAAAAATTTTCAAAAAGATGTGAAAACTTGTGTAATAGGGTTTTTAGGGACGCTGACTTCAATGCTCAACTATTCTCAAGATTGCGAAACTTTCTAAACGGTGTAACCGCACTTTTAGGAACATTGAGAAAATGGCCGCTACTGCTTACCTCGCATAACTCTTCAGTGAAACATCAAAATAGGTTGGGAACTTTACAGTTAGAATCAGCAACTCTAATTGGCCTAGTGTAAAAGTTTTCAGGCTGTTTTGATTCCTTTCTGAGGCAAAATATGACCTTTCCTGGCCAAAACCCTCTTTCAAGTTTCTACCGTAATCCTACAGTAACGAAGAGCGGTCGGTGATTCGCTCCATACTGCAAATCTAAGTTGAAGCCAGCCCTACAAAATAACGCTTACCGCTTCTTGAAAGACCTCATAATAAGAGAGTTATTCAAAATCAAACAGTGTGCACATCTTTTTGGGACACCCTGTAGATGACTTATTCGAAGCAATGCGCTTCTTGTATTCAGGCATAGCGGCTTTGAATTTTTGTCTTGCTTCACAAGCAGCAATTTAATTCAGAACGAGGATAGCCCACCAACGATTCTCACAGTGGGTTCCCGGCATTCTGCGGTCAGAGCCAGTAACAACATTTTTCGGCACATCCATGCTCTCTACAAATGTCTGAGAATCTGGTTTTCGTTCTTCCTATTTTATTCTTGAGCTTTGAAATTGCATGAAAGTTGGGTATCAAAAGAAATCACGTTCCAGTTGTTAACCATCGCAAGCACAGATGTCAGGAGGAGAAGAGATTGTTTATGCTACACCTTGACAAAATTCTGACCATGTGATCGAGTTGTACAGAATTTCTTTTTTATTCACTTGCATACTTATAACACATGTAAGTAACCTTCAAAAATTTCGCGGCCCATTTTCAGGAAGGCCCCCTCACCCTTCCTACTTCGGCACGCACCTGCTACTTACATGAGATTAGAATCGGATTTATGACTTTTCAAATTTGGCTGGTCTTATAGAGCTAGTTTTGGTTCTGAATAGTCTGAAAAACTGAATGAATTTAGAAAATTCAACAAAATTTTCGCTGCATGGCTTTCACTTCGCTGCATAGGCGCGATAAGTGGAGCAATTCCTCTGTTCCCTTCACTTTTGAGCAGGCATCTGGATGACCCCTTTCACCTGAGATTGAAACTAGGGTCAAGGCATAACGGCTGAATAAAACACCTATGATAAATGGTACACATTTTGTTTGGAACCGCCAGCTGCTACTTCTTCTCAGTTAATGCATGACACGACTTTTACAGAGTTTGCTTAGAAAAACGCAAGTTATAGACCAACAATCTCACTCAGAGTGTTTTAGTTCGATAGCGAAATAAACACAAGAATTTTGGTGGGGGGGGGTCTTGTCCTTAAATTAGCAACATTGTTCGATGAATATATATTGTCGCAGGGGAGAATTATGCAAGAGGAGGAAGTCTGGTCTGCCCAATGATGGTTGCATGTTCACTGAGAAGGATCGTATTTCATCTCCTCTCGTTGGAGAGCTTGGTAGAATCAAGTGAGCACTTAGATTTCTTATTAGAGCTTTCTACTTGCATGCAAAGCCTCGAAAAACACCTTTCCGCTTCAAAATTATGCATAATATCATCCACAGAATTAGCTAATATCGAAACTAGATAAATCATATCTCGCTTCGCAGAACAGGTAGGAAAAAAGAGACAGTCTACTTCGATTCCTCGTGCTCTTAACTATTAGACGTATATACTGATGGCTGCATAAAGCTTTCCCGCTTTGAAAAGTCCTGCTCCGGCCGACCCATGAGAGCCAAGTGATAGGACGGGGTGAGCAGGCTACGAGTAAATATCTCCACCCCATCTACAAAGACCACAAGTTTTTTCACCCAACAATCTATATACCTTTAGAAAGCTCACGAAATGGAGATTCGACGCAGACCGTCTCTTTTTTCCAAGCTCCCCCCCCCCTCTCCCGCCCCCTCCTCTCTACTCGGAGATACATGGCATTTAAACTGAAAGCATGGGGGTTTTGTGAGGAAATTTCTACGCAAAGGATGAATGAAGACGTCTGATTGTCTAAATGTGTCACAGAGCAAGAATTTGCCAGTAAACATAGACCGCCTCTTTTTTTTCTGGTTTTCCTCTTCCTTTCACAAACAAGCGCAAAGTGATCGCGTAAAATCAACTCATGCTGCAGCTAGATAAAAATTTTTATGTGTGATTTCACAGGAGAGCTGGGAAGAATAAGACGGTCTACGTCGATTCTGTACGTTTCCAGCTTTCGATGGTATGCCGACTAATCTTATATATAAAGCTGAATGTCTGTTTGTATGTATGTCTGTCTATATGTCTGTCTGTGTGTACGTATGTTCCGAATAGAAAATTCCATTTCTGAACCAATCGGCTCCAATTTTGCAAAAAATCGATAAAATCGACATCGATCGATAGAGAAAAGTGGACTGTGACACCCGCCGGGGCCCGAAGTGTATGTGTGTCAAGTTTGGTCCGGATCGGTTAAGAAATGGAATTTTCTATTCGGAACATACGGCGGAGCCGGGTAAGCCAGCTAGTGAGACATAAAGCTTTCCCAAATCAAAAAAGTTTCTGTTCTTTGACCTTCCACAACGCATTAAAAAATTCTTCATGTTACACCTCTACCTCTTATTCTCCTTCCTTGCACACCCTACTCCCACTCGGCATGTAAGCTTACGTCAGCATTCACCTCAAGTCTCACTTACCTCCTTCAATTTTTTAGGTGATAAATAGCCAAAATCCCCTTCACCTAGAGGGAACCCTGTCCTCTTTCACACCTATGCTTCGCTGCATAACAAAAGAGGAACCGTTTCGGTAAGATGTGCGTCGGTAATAATACACTAGTTGCAGCAGCTTTGTCGAGACGCGGCAAGATCGCAAAATTCTAGCCAAGATTTTTATGCCTTTTGTCGCGGATTAGGTTCCACAGCTGTAGACGTCAGTGGTAAAGAGCTCTGCTGCATCGGCGGCAGGAGCCTAGGACACCATTCGAGGGATGAGGTAACGACACGTGAGGAAAGGAGCTGCTTGCGCCATGCTTGCATGGCCTGACGAACACGGTAGTCTAGATCAGTTAGAGTTTCTAGGCTATCAACTTACCCCCTATTCTCTACTCTCTACTAATAGCAAACTCATGCTGTTTGCTAACACAGTTGACAACTGTGGATTATTAGTATTTTGGCACTGCCGCGGATCGTGCCACGTCCAGGGCTCAGCACGAGGTGGCATATGAAAAATCAAAAAAGAAGTCTCCTTTGGCACTGCACAAAATTACGAGATACCTTTTGTAGTGTTTGTAGAAGCTTCTCTAATGATCTGCAACGAAAAAAAGGACTGAAGTGAAGAAAATCTATAAATAAATCGTTAAAAAGAAATGCAAAAAAAGCTATTTTCATTTCATTAATGAGCACTAACAAAGCATAGGGAACAAATGGGTTAAGGTGACTACTCATAGGTAGATCTTGCCCTGAAAAACATATTTATGTAAAAAAATCTGGAAATTTATGTGTGGAAGGCAAAAAATGCGAAGATTTTTGCCTTTGCGTGGTCCCGCGCAACCTCAGGGTGCTCCCAGGTTGTGCGGGAGCAACCTAAAATCGGAAAACACCTACAACTTTTCTCTTCCACATGATTTTTTTCATATTTTTTCACATTTTCTTCCGATCATCGCCGCTGATGTACACACCAATTTTGGTTGCTTAGTAGTACTTACTCGTTGTAAGCAAGACTGTTTACATTTTTGTGTTGTTGATTGCGTTTTGACACCTTGAAATCGTGTGCACACAGGTTTACGCACTGGTCATGTTTCTAACGTGTTAATTTACCTGTTTCATTGTTAAAATTGATTAGACCTTCACATTTTTGCTAAATGTTAGACTTGTGCTTTCAAATATTTTTTCAGGTTGCGGGGAACTACAGGTTCACCTTTGCCTTACTTTTAAAAAACGAATCCAGCTTGTGAAAACGCCACCTCTTCTGAGCCCTGGCCACGCTGTCTTGCCGATGGAGTCATACTGGACGTCAAGTTGACTGAGAACACATTTGGCATGAAGATGGAATAAGAGCTGAGGCTTAAACCCACGACTAAATATTTAGTACACTACGATTTTTTAGTGCCTACCATTTATCCACAATTTCAGATCGACACAAACAGCTCAATACAAGGGGCTAAGAACCCGTCGGCCAAAGATGAACTTCCACAAACTAGCAACTTTAAATGGACTGCAACTTTAGCAACAACAAGCTGGCAACCTCAAATAGACTGCAACTTTGGCAACAACAAATTGGCAACTTCTAATGGTGTGGCGGAAAAGAAAGTGGTTTCGAAGACGCGTTTGACAGGTCAGGCAGACGTGGCGGTATGTTGCAGATGCCATCGAGAGAAGGCTTCATTCGTCTTCCATCCTGCACGGCGGCCGGTCGTCATCGAGCTCTTCTGCTCTTTCAGATCTTCTGGACTGTAACTTTTTCTAATCGTCATTTGCCTTATTAGAAATTACGTAGGTCTAATGATTATTTGCTATCTTTCGAGCTACTCTCATTTTGTGTAAGATAGGAAGTAACTTCTTCTTTGGAAAATTACCTCAGTGTGGGGGGGGGGCAGAAAGGACTTTTCCCAAGGATGGAGTTGAAATGGTGCAAGTGTCTTTTCTCAAATGCAAAATTCTAACTCATGCAGCACCTGCAGACAACTTGAATATTTTTGTAACGTCTAAAATTTGAATCAGCTTTGTTGCAGACAAAGCTGAGCTTCATCACGAGGAGGCATCATTCGTCTTCCATCCTGCACGGCGGCCGGTTGTCTTCGAGCTCTTCTGCTCTTTCAGATCTTCTGGACTGTAACTTTTTTGACAATTGCCTTATTAGAAATTACGTAGCTCTAATGACTATTTGCTATTGTCCTTTCGAGCTACTCTCATTTTGTGTAAGATAGGGAAAATTCTTTTTTGGGAAAATACCTCAGGGGGGGGGGTGCAGAAAAAGCTTTTCCCAAGGATGGAATTCTAAATCTTGAAGTAGTCTACCTAAACCAAGAAATGGTGCAAGCGTCGTTTTTTTAAATGCACAATTTCAACTTATTCAGAACCTGCAGACAATTTGAATATTTTTTGTAATGTCTAAAATCTGAATCAGCTTTGCAGAAATTCTTCCGTGGGTGTGGCTGCAGACGGCCTTTCCAAACTTCTGGAATCACAGCCCGTTGAAAGCTAAACATCCCGACATCTTATCTATAATACAAACTTGACCGTTCGGCCCGTGTAATTGCTTCGTCGTGATGGTTGCGAATCACGCGTACTCAGTACGTGTCATTTCGGCCGATTCATCCGGCAGCTATCTCTTATCACGGCTGCGCGGCGAAATCGCTGGACGTCACCTGAATGTCGTCACCTGAGGGTCAGACGAAGAGAAATATGGGATTAGCGTGGAGATGCAAGAAGGCACAACCGACTAGAGGTCGAGTGCGCCGAGTTCGTCCGTGCACACGGACAGTAGGACCGACATCACTAGGTTTAACGCACGCCAAATGCAATCCATAACAGCTGATAAGCGTCCAAATGTCAAAGCGCTGAGCGACTTATTCTGTTTTGTAACATTTCTGCTGCTATATTACTTGTAATTGGAAAAAGGTGGGTTCATTTTGATTACTATTTACTTCAGAATTCTACTTGTTCGTCTATTTGTGGACATTTTTTTTATTCTCATAGCAACTCATTTGCGAACCACATTTGGGAAACGTCCCTTTTGAACCGCTCGCTATCACAGCGCGCCTCTGATTGGTCAATATGTCCACTGCCATTGACAAGGCTATGAGTAGGACGCAGCATCATTTTTGTACATCTTTTTTGCCCAACATGATGATTGGTTTTGGCACAGGTCAAATGACATGCTTCAAACCAAGAACTTTCCCCATTGAATGTGAATGCGACTTGTTAGCTTTGCCAGCTGCGCCGCATGCGGCGAAACGGGCATCGCGCGCGAAGGGTTCAAAAGGGCCTACACCCACCAAATTTCCTTTCTGCATGTCTCGATCCCCTTACTTCTTCTATTTGAGCACCCTTTATAACACCCTTCATCTACATGTTGAATTGCTGTCCATCAGCTGTGCGTCCGATGTCTCCCTTTTAATTTGGGGGAGGGAACGTCTGGCGTTATGGCTAATGAAGCAGCTCATGTTTACACTAACTAAAGTAATCATTGTTTTACAATATTTCAATTTTCTCGTGTATAGTCAGTAAGTTTTGCATTGCCATTTTCCACATTACCAAAACATTTCGCAAATTTTGCTCATTTACATAAAAACTAACTAGCCAGCAAGCAATGGCCCACGTGGCACTCGTACCCACAACCATTAATTCAACGCCGCCCCACAATGGCGCTGTGCTAGCACCTCTTGTAGCGGTACCGTCAGTATTGCGTTTTGGTAGTGACGTGAAGGCAGTGTATACTTTAAAACTTACTAAAGCCAACACACATGGAAGCCTCCTTATCAATTTGTTCTTAGATAGTAAGCGACTATTCTGTCTGTTCTGTCTTTGCTTCTAGCTTTAACTTTCATTTTTCTATTTCAAAGAAAAAAAGTAGAGCATTGGCAGTGCGCGCCGTCGACGGTCATAGAAGGGTTCGACCGCGCATGCGCATAAGTTTTGCGGCAACTAAGGCGTGTTGTGAGCAGTTTGTCCTTCAGTCGGACACTTCGCGAGCTCGCTTTTACATTACAACATATTTAGAGGGTTTACTATGGGCCTTAGGGGCCGGTAAAAAGAAAACATTTCAAAGCTGCTCCACTGTTGTGTGGCAAAAAGGGCGTTAAACCGGGTTACCTCAGAAAGACGGGCCAGTCCTTCACTGGTGATGTTGCTCGCGTGAGTTGAGAAGCTGCGCGGTTTGACCGACCGATAGTAGAACTCAAAGCTGTAAGCCGACCGCTCGCTAGTAGATAGGTATGACATACGTGACTTTTCGAATGCAAGCTGCGGTATGTATATGTATGCGAGCGAGGGGGGGGGGGGGTCAGCGCGCGAGAACTAGCGTTTTGACCCCTTCGCGCACGGGCAGCGGGCTCTTTTGAGAAGTCGAGCAATCCGATACCTTTCAAAGAGTGGCTAATGTTCTACCAAGAGTAAGCCAAAAGTCTACCAACTTTTGAATATAATATCATGATTTCAACAATGTTCCAGCAGATAAGCCCATTAAGCAGTATGTCAAGAACCCCACTCAGCATTTCAGAAAGCCAGAGACTGCCTGAGGTTTTAATGATGAGGCGTGCAATACTAGAGGCTGCTACATTTTTCGTAATGCAAAAGTTACCAAAATGCTGCGCTAATGAAAATTGATGTCTCCATACCCATTTGTTGAGCTGGAATGCACTTGCTTCACTCTGACTATATAAGTTGGAATTGAGGTAATAATAGCACTGTCTGACATGTACGGGATTGGCGGTAAGCGGTGAATGCACCTAGAGTTTTGTGCCGCCTGACGCGCGCAAAGCACATGGGTAATTTATTTTTGCCCTGCGTGCTTCAAACAAATTGTAACTGGTTTTTAGGTGCTCTAGACTTAAGATTAGCATTGCTTACAAGGGCATCAGTTATTTGCAACACAATATCAGGCTGATGCATATCTGCTGCATGTTTTTATTTTGAAGCAGAGAAGGTATAGAAATGGGTGGAACATATTATTCGATGAAGCAAAGCAAGCCCTACAAAATTGCCTTCAAACAATCTCAGGAAGATGCACGGAAAGTTGGGAAGAAAAAAATCAATTTTTGAATTGGCAAAAACTCAGATTTTGCTGCATTGTCTTAACGTACAGCACCTAGAGTGCAAAATTGCGTTGTAAACGCAATAATGCGCCGCAATTGCCGCATTGTTATAAATTTTCAGATTATCCTCTGCTTGAATAACTAGAACCAGCGCTGCCTGATGCATCTGATAGTATGTTTGAAAATTGAAAAATTTACAATTTTTATGCCACAAGGCGATATAAACGCAACGTTTGCGTTGGTATATCGGTTGCTACCTTGTATAACTATTTTCGTGTTCACCCTGCCGCGATATTGCATGATGAAACACGATACATTTTCTGGAGAACTCAACAATACATTGAAGCACCTACAAGGGTAAATTATTCGGGAAGAGAAGTGAACATAAGGAAATTTCTCGACAAGGGGCAGCTATGCGGGTAATGCAAAATCGATGCATATTCCTTATCCCAAAGCGGCTTAGAGTATACAATAATGTAGGATACATCACTCGAGCAAAGAGCAAAGCAAGTTCCGCAGAGACAGTGTATACTCGCAAAAGGTGTAACTTACGTGAAATTTAGCAAAACATTTAGAAAGTTTCAAATACCCAAAAAAAATCGGATCAGTCTAGACATTGTAGGACCTCCATCTTCTTCAAGCATATAGTACACACATCAGACATTCATAAATACTTGTCACATTTCCTTTCATGGCTGGAAGTTGAAAAATAAAACAAGCCAAGAACTTGAAAATGACGACTTTTTCAAATTTTATGTTAAAAGCAGCGTCCAGGCAAATCTGAACGCAAGGCGTTCTGATGTGGAAAGTAATTTTGGGGCCCTATCTAAGAAATGCCCAAGCGGCAGCTCAAATGGTGAGCTCACTGAGATACCCGCCTCCAAACTGGACCCCGGGATCGTATTCGCATATATTCATGGCGCGAGACATCAGTTTCGCGCGAGGACCTAGGCCATCTCTGCCGCTTCTGTGTAAGGATTCTGCATTGATTTTACATCAACCTGATAGCACGCCAAGCGAACAACGTGTGCTGACAGTTCGCTCGTTCTCAAAAATTTCCTATCTCTCCCCTTCTTGAATAATTTAACGGTTTGTAGTTGCTTTAATGTATCATTAGGTTGTCCAAAAAATAATGTCTCATCTTATTTTATCATACAACATCGCGGCAGGATGAGCACGAGAATAGGTAAAGTACCAACCGATAGACCAGCAAGGTCCACAAACGAAGCTTAGAGCGCTGTGCTCCCACTTTTTTCGTAGTTAGCATGCTCGCTTCGGTGAAAGTTTGCAAAAAGTATGAAACAAGAGGGATTGCCGGTCTTGTCAATATTTGCTGCGATTGTAATCAGCATTTCCAATTACCTTCATCGCCTGATCAAACCCCCACGCACACTTGGAATTCGCAAAAATGTAGATAAAATCAATTGTGAGCGATAATCTTGATAACCTCTTTTGCATTCGTAATCAGCAAGCTTTCTTAACCCTGTGCTAGCTCCCGCAATTCGCAGTTCGCTCAAAAATCAATACACACTATCGATCGGTGAGGTAAAAAAAGGCTACGACTTCGCTTTCAACTCTTTTTTGGATTCAAGTACAAAAAACATTTTTCTTTTGACCAATGCTGAACAATGCCCAAGTCGCTGTCAGGTTGCAGTGCCGCTAACGTCATAAGCAAACTTCGGACCAGCAGTTTTACCAGCTCTTTCCAACATATTTATTACGTTTCTCATTCCTTAATTAAAAGTTATAACTACTTTGATATATTTGAATGCATAAAAAGTCGCCATTTTGTATTTCAAAACCTCTTATTTAATGTGCAGCAGTTCCAGGAAGCGATGTCATGAGTCATAAAATAGAATATAACTAATACGGGTGGGATGGTCAAGATCGCATTTTTTCCAAAATTCACCAATCCAAGACCCAGTTTAGAGCTAAGCAAGTCCTTCAAAGGTACCTGATAAGATTTTCTAACCTACTATCTATCTGAAATTACCACTTGCTGAGTTAAACCGCTTTTGGTAAAAACCGATCGAAATATTCATAAAATTTCCATTGATTGCAATTTCAAATTTGACCTTCAACACTTATAATTTATTAGGTTGGCACATAAGTTTTGCAACTTTTCCCGTAACTTTTTTCCTATTTTATGTAGCAATCCCATTTTGTGGCATCGTGTAGATCGTGATGTAAGCTGCAAGTCTCGCAAACCGTTTGATTTTTGATAAGGTAGTACAAAAAATCTAAGCATTTTTTGAAAACTGCTGAAAATCGAGGTTTCACGATTTTTTGGCAAACATGAGGCCTTACGAAACCTGATTCAAACATATGAAAAAGCAATTATAGGCAGCATGCAGCTGGAAGCTGGCACATTGGAATCAGTGAAAAAAAAATGAAATTTAAACACAAATTAAGGTGGGGCGCCTTTGAGAAGTTGAACAAGTCAAATGCGTCAAGGGGAGACGGCCCTTCTGAACCGAGCCCGCGCTACCGTAATTCAAAACGCAGGACGCGAGCGGGCGCGCTGCGTTCCCTGTGGACGAGATGTTCGTCTCTCTTCTCCGTGCAATCAATAACGCCGTTTCGACATCTTCTCCTTCCCTCGCCATAACTCTGTTACTGTGTTCCTTTGACTATCACAGTCTGTTTTTGCAAACATCTGTAAATTTAGGCTAAAATGAAGCCAACTTGAGGACTTGTTATCCCTCGTTCAAGTTGGCTTTCGAAATGGAATGCAGCCAGTAATTTTGAATCAAGCTGTCGGCATGTTGACAAGGATATGCAACATCAGGAAAGCATGTGCAGGTGTTTTAAACTTCTTATTCACTGCTCGCAAGCTTCATTTTCATCTACTAAATCTCAAGTCATCAAACGCAGCCCTTCTCACTGATAAGCACACGAAAATGCTGTCAATTTGTTGTTGTACGGAAATTTCCTGTTGTGGATTGTGATTTTTGTGTGACAGTGCCATTCTGCCCAACCCTTTCGACTCTTCATCGTCTTGTTTTTTTTTCGGCCATTCAGAAATTCTATCCTATTTTACCTTCCTTGTCTTTAGCAGATATGTTTCACGCATTCTTTGTCGCGCAACCTTTTTTGCACCTCTGTTGTCTTACAAATATGATCTTTAATGGCTACGCATGAAATTTTTTTTTGCTCAATGGTCGATTTGTGTATTTGCACCTCCCTATAATAAACTGCAAGACTGTAAGCATTGAAATTTAGCAAAACGCCTACTTCTGTGCAAATGCGTTTTTCTTTTTCAATCTTTACTTTCACTCCTGCACATTTATCCAAAGTTCTGTTCTTTCAGCTTGTGCCAGAGCTAATATGGGACCTCTGTTCCGGACCCCTCTCCCCAGAAGAACAGCTTGATCGAAAACAGTCACTTGCACGACAAGCGCGGCTCGTCGACTTTGTATTGGATTTCGACGCTGCCAAGGTTAGTTCTAATTTACAGCAGAGCTTTTCTTGAACATAATCAACGTCAAATATGTTTTAGATGTGCACACCTGCCCTGCAGAATGATTTTAGTCGTTATCGACGAGCGATCGGTCTAGGTTAGCTTGGAACCAGTCCATCGTAAGTCGCGTTTCGTTCCTTGTATTATGCCGAGTACCTACATCATTTGAAGCGATATTGAACTGGCTAATTCGATCTCTCTGTTTCTTGCCAATCCTACACCGATGCTATCGAGTTTGAGCTCTGCCACACTCGAGTTTGTCCGTTCACATCCTACGCTTTCTATCGGAAATACTACTGACACTTTTGCGACTATAGTCAGTTATCAGTTTCTCACTTTTCAAAATAAAAAAGATTTGCTCAAGGCTTTAGTCATTCAACTACTACTTACTACGACCCGATTCACATCTATATCAAGAAAATCTGAATGTTTTAAACAATCAATATTCGGTTAACCAAATTTCTTTCAGACAGATGCTCTGTTGAATGCTATCCGATACACCTCGAAACACTTTACCCAGGTTTCAACACCAAAATCGGTACGAGCTATTCTACCATGACTTGTCCACTTTCCTACTTACGTGATGTGATCCTCATAATTTTTTGGCAGCCCATGCTAATCAGTATACATCGCCCATTCCACGAATTTTCCTACGAAATCGGTGCCAAGTATTCCATGCTCATTGTAATCTGATAGCCTGTTAGCGTTCTATTCTAGTCATAATCTAGATGTTCTAAGTCATAATTTTGCAAATCTGCATATGAATTCGAATTGTAACAACTATACAGTCAATATTTATAGTATAACAGTGCTTTGACAAAATTGTTAAACTTGCAGTAAAGAGTTTTCGTACGTTCAAGACAACCGTTGACAAACAGGCTCTCTTTAAAAACCGTTCATAATCAAAGGCAGTCAAACACATTAATAGATGGACATACAATATGATCTTTCCGAGCTAAGCAACTTTGTGCCTAGTACGACGATTATTCTGATCGTATTAATCAATCGGAGACGCGCCAGAGTGTACACGCAATTTAGAGGAGTTATAGGGCCCAGTTCGAGCTATTCGCAAGGTATATAGTGTATGAGTGAATGAGTTGTGTGTGGATCGACAATGGCGAAGACAAATCACGCGGAAGCAAGCACATTATTGACGCAGATTATATAATAACTGCCTCGCTCTTTCGGGTTCGCTGTACTCTCACAGTAGTGTGCATTTCTTCTTCTTTTCCATCGGTGGAGGCTCCAAGGCAGCCATGATTGCTTCGTCAAAGACATTCTTCAATCCTTTCTGGAAAGCAACTGATGACAAATGAGCATAACGTTCACAAGAAGGGTGACACAGTTGAAGCATGTCATTCTTCAACATCGAAAAGAATTCTTGAACATGGAAAACACTTCCATATGGTGAGTCAGATTGATTTCGCGCTTTCTTTATTGCGACCACAAAATTTTACGCTGACTTCTTGCGGTGCACAGATGATTCAAATCAAGTATAGCATAATTATGTAATACATCAAGAAATAGCCAATACCGAATAGGCACCAAATGTAAAAGCATACGCGATATGACGATGCAGGAACAGTGTTAACGTTGGTAAGAATTTCAAATATATAGTGAAAGAGCAGCGCTAAACACAGTGAGATAGTATTAAAAGTCATAACAGACATACTCACCTTATTACAACCTCCAAGTTCATACTGACGACAGCATAATTCACGAAATCCTGTTACTGGAGAAAGTTCTGCATATATCGCACCGTGGAACCTGGAAAGAAAGTCAACGCCGAAGATCACATACGATATAATATTATAGAATCAAAATCACACAACAAAAAACGACTGATCATACCATCTGTCTAGGTCCTCTACACTTTCTGCATTCGCCTCCCTGTCAAATTTGACGTAAACATTCCCAATCATATGTTCGGCGATGTTATCGCATCTTTTGTCTAAAATGTGACGGAAACAAAATGAACACAATTGAGGTCACCGAATGTCTGACAATGTTCTTCTTTTCATTCATTTATGAATTAATGCAAAAGACGCAAAACGTTTGATGCTGCTTGATAATCGATGAAACTTGAAATGGTGACTTATCATCCTCTCGCTTACATGATGGAACAGACAGAGCAAATACAGCTGCATTCTGACGAAATAAATATTGTGTAACGAAAAGTCGCTCTATATGGCACATTTCATGGCAGGAAATCTTTGAAAATAGGGTCCCACAGTAAGTGTTGCTGATATTAAGTAAAGTAGGACATGATTTCAACGCGGTCTAGAGCCAGTGGTTATAAATACGTTCTAAAAATAACGCACAACACACTTGCCTCCATCATCGCAAGAGGATTGAAAATAGAATTAAATAGTCACCTCCATCTCGCAACTTCCCGTATTAATTCTCGGTGAAAAATCTCCTCGAAAATCTCATCAAAATATTGTTGTTCATCCTTGTTCATAATGCCTGACCTGAAAAATTCCCAACTTCAATTCACCTTGTATATAAATGGAGAAACAAGAGGGAACTCTTACTTTTGTGCAAGCATCAGCTTGGCGCATATCGATAACAGGTATGATGGAGATTCTTCAAAAACACTTATTGAGAAAATGTTGGAATATTATGAGTGCGAGCACTTGTCTCGATGCCGACATGCTCCGATTTTGGAAAGTAAGAGCAACTGATCTGAAAAAGGTATCACACGAGTTCAGTTCATTTTGGAACAAAATGTTGCCATATAAACATCAATGAAAATGAAAAAAGACGTGATAAGGAGGGTAGCAGGCATGCAAGACGCGTTTTTTTTTGCCTTACGTCGCTTCAGGGTACACCTTGTGGCGTATTGTTTAAAAACACGCCACACGCTCCATCGAGAAGCTCGTACGGAAACGCAGCGCGCCAACCGCTCGCGCGAAAGCTGCAGCCAATCGCAGTGCGACCTCAGTGGGTGGTCCAACCTATTACCACCGTCGCGATTGGAGCGGGTTCAGAAGGGCCTACACCCTGCGTCAAGTTTTGAAGGCATTTTGTCAATAACTAAGCTGCTGAAAGTCAGAATTCGCTATAACTTTGCACTATAGGGTAATCCTATGCGGTAAACACGAATATCATATTCATTTGCCGCTAAAACGAAATTCATCTTTTGATCTCACGAACGAGGCCTTTTCATGCAAAACGGATCTCATTTTTGTGATCAGCATGTCAAATAAGCCCTATGGGCCAAGTTTCAGCAAAATCTGATGCATTCTAAAATTTTTCCCATAGTACCGTAAACCTACCGTAGTCCTCACATAAGATGGTAAAATTCGGCAAAAATGTGTGCATTAGAAGCTTGCATCATATTCCTTATATTGCCAAAAAATGAATGCGCTACGTTCAAATAGACAAAAGTTATATAAAAAGTTGCATTACTTATGTGCCAACCTAATAGATCTACCTTAGGATTAAAACTAAGGTAAAATAGCTCGTATGCCGGCCTTACATGAGCTGGGAATGTTCATAACAGGTAGTCTTAAGATCAGTCATTTGTGAGTTTTCATGTATTCTCCTATCAGGATCCTATATCAGGATCCTCCAAAGGCCTGCCGTTTTTTCCCCAGGCGCGCCCTTGGGAGGCAGTAATCTCTTCGCGCCTACCTCGCGCTTGTATCGCACTTGTTTCGCACAGTTCTGCAATAGTTTCCCTCCGGACAATCGTTTTGTTTCTCCTAGTATTGATTAGAAAGGTCACTGCTTGAACAATGATTTTTGAATGATAACAAGAAAAGAAAAAAGCTGTGGGAACTAAAAAAATAATAGAAGTGGACTGAGTGCTTCATGCCAGAAAAGTCGTTTAGTCAAAGTGGCAATCTGGAAGTTGATGCATACCAATATATAGAGATCGAAATGGCGATTTTTATATCTGCGAAGGATTTCTCCAATAGAGGTTATGGGCTTTTCTCATTTGATAATGGAAGTGTAGCCCACAAAGAAAAGGCGTATGGACAACAGCATGGCTGGAAAACACTCGAAAACGTACAGATGACATCAGACTAGATGTACGATGCTTAACAAATATTTTAATTGAGTCTGCATCTTTTTTGTGGAAATGATTTTGCAGCTCAGAATGCATGCATCTTGTCAACAAGACAAGCTCAAACATCTCCTAGAAGATAGCTTCGTAGAGACATGTCTCTAAGACAGAAACCATTCAAAAGAGCACTTTCATAAACAAGTATGATGTGATTCTGGTCCTGCTGAATACTATCCGTTTGAAGCATCGGCTCCCAAAAGGACAAGAGTTTAGGTCGAGACAAGTGCGACATAAGCACGAGGCAGGCGCGAAGAGATTATTGCCTCCCAAGGGTGCGCTTGGGGAAGAAGTGGCGGGCCTTTGGAGGATCTTGCACGCCCTCCCTCCTTGTAAGGGAAGGATACCAACAACCAGGGTCAAGCGTGTTGATGCGATCCGAGACCCTCAATTACGATCCCCTCCTCCCCCCCCCCCCCCTTGATATCCATCCGTACGACCCCTCTCCACCCCCCACCTACCCCCCCCCCCCCCACTGCATTTGAACCTGCATAAACAGATATCAACCTCAGTAAATGCTTACCAATGAACCTCAATCAAAATTATAGGTTCAGAGAAAAATACCTGCTCATAAATTGGGAGATAATGCAAGTGATGCTCCATCACTCAAAAACCTCATAAATAATGCGTAGATTGGGTAAGTAGTAAAATTTTACAAAGAGTCGGCTATGCTGTGGGGTAAATATGAATGGAAAGACATCTTCTGACAAAGCAGAACATCGATTATGATCAGAGTGATATATATGATCTGTTCTCTACCTAGACGCTAAAAATGTAATAAAATAACAACCAAGAAAAGTTCAACATTGCGGAACGGTTCACAGCCATTATGATTGATTATTTTATAATAACTCATTTTCTAGTGACAGATAATAAATTCTTCTGTCATTTATGAATGTTTGGCATAGCTCATTCATGTTTCAGCGGTACCGAAACGTATCGATTATGGTTCTGGAAATTAAAGCGGTTTAGATTATAATGACATTCTCGTGTTCTATTCCCGTACGCGACACCTTTTTTGCAGAGAGAAAAACGATATTTTCGAAGCCTTGAAATTGTTTTCGACTATAAAGCTTACTTCCTACCTTTTGCACAGAATTTTCTGCAAAAAAAAAAAACGTTTTAGCGCCATCCAGAACGATGTCAAAAACGTGCATTAGTACCTTACTTTGAAAATTCGTAATCAAGGTCAAGCTGTGTAGTCTAGTGCTCAGAACATCCACGGAAAAAGTTTCAGCCATTGAAGAGCAATGAGCTCGAAAAAATTTAAATGCGACTCTCGCAAATTTTGATGCGATCCAAAGAAGCAAAAACTGGGATTTCTAAGCTTGAAATTTTGTAACTCACCGGAGAAATCAAGAAACAGCCTGAAATTCTTACGTTAGAGAGTAGGAGGATGGCCTTGTGTTACAGCACAGTTGCAGCCAACAAGCTTCAAAAGCTCCCGAGAAATTTAGATGCGACCCAGATACGATCTCCCTTACTTCAGTTTTTGTCGTCATACATAAAATTATAAAAAAGTCCACAGATTACGAAACAAAACCAGATTTTTGCACAAATGTAACAGAGCATCTCCAAAGTGCAGAAAATTGTATGGGAAAGACATTGCAAGATTTAAAAATTATTGATTGTCATCGTCGATAAAGATATTCGTCGTTTTTGTCGAGTGTGTGAGACTTCAGGGAAGCTATGGAAGCAATATTTCTAGGCCAGTCGCTACATTTAGAATTTTTTATCAAATCATACATACTTTGAAAGTGTTTTGATGATGATGTCTACTGATGATGATGTCTACTTTTTGTTTATTGTAAAGAACATGTACCAATTATTTGCTTTTTGATATTATTCTAAACTTACGGTTTTCAGCCAAACTACTTCCTCTTACGACTCCCCTCTCCACCTTACAATACCGCTCACATTTTTTGAAAAATAGACGTGAATGTATGGACATGTATGAACATGTCGCTACACGTCCATACATGTATGGACATCACCGTCGCGTGACCTATCTCGCTCCAGAGTGGACGAATTCTGAATCCAAAGCCACCTTTCGATTCAGCTCGGCGCGGAGAATCTTCTGATATATTGGAAGTGAGGGTAGGATGTCTTCGAAATTCCGTTCCCAGTTTTTTCAAATTCTTCTGCGGTGGTCCTTTTGCGAATATGTAAAGCAACGCCTATCCAACATGGAAGACTTTACTAACAATAAGTACTATTAGATATCACTGTTCTTGTAGATTATTGTGCGCTAAAAAATAGATTAGACTTCTTTCCAAAGGCGATAGAAGCGTTTAGAATTTTGGAAAAATTGCGCGTTCTTAAATTCTAGTCGCCATAACTTCCTTCGAAATGAGTATATTTCAAATGCGAAAACAGCGCCTTGCTCAGCTCATCAAGGCGAATCTTTTTATGTACAGCATGTCCTTGATATTTCAATTTCAATATTCTTGAATCTTTTTGAGGACGTCTTTTCGCGAAGGTGTAAAGCAGCGAGCATTGTCCCGAGTACATTCCAGCAAGGATCTTTCGACAGTGTTTCTGTAGATTATGACGTGCTAAATAGTAGCCGCAGATTCTTTTCAAAGGAAATAGAACGGCTAGTGAATTGTGAAAAAACCTTGTCGTCCCAAATTCTACTCGCCATAGCCCCAGGATACGAAGCTAAGCGGATGTGAGTTTCAAAATCAGCAGGTCGGATAACCTCTATAAGCAATTTTTCCGATTTGCTCGGGTTATTTCATTGTTTCTCGTTTTACGCTCTGGAAGCTGGTGGATTTTGATCAAAATGTTGACGCTTTTGAATTGTAAGGAAGCTTCGCTTATAGAGGTTTTCGAACACGCTCTTTACGAAAATCGTGGTTTTTGAAGATTACAGGGTCTTTTTGGAGAGATACGGTGAGGTGACTGTAACTGCATCACGAAAGTACGTAACTTTGGCCACACTTCTCGCGTATCTGTCAGAAACCTTGCCTGCTTGCTTTTCTAAGTCAAAGTTATTAGGAGCTGTGCTATCGAAAAGTGCATGACTCAGGCTTCAGTCTGTAAAATTCGCCGAGTTACGAGCCTACGAGAACACTTCCTCCCAAGATGTAAAGATCGCATATTTCGTCGAAATTCCACCGTGAGTGCTTGTACAACACGCTGATCAAATCCTTCCTCATTTTAATGGATCTTATTGTGCTAGATTTGGTGCTTTGAGCTCTAGCCACGAAATAGCTTTGATATTCAATTGAGCAGCTGAAGCACATGCAAGCACCATATTCAATAAAGTAGGAATCGTTGGACGAAGCGAACGTAATATCCGCCATGCGAGTGTCATACAAGCACGCACTCACGGTGGAATTCCGATGAAATATGCGATCTTTACATTTTGGGCAAAATTCATGAGGATGTGTTTTCGTAGGCTCGTAACTCGGCGATTTTCATAGACTGGAGCCTGAGTCATGCATCATTCGATAGCACAGTTGCTAGTAACTTTAACTTAGAAAAGTAAGCAGGCAAGTTTTCTGACAGATACGCGAAAAGTGCGGGCAAATTTACGCACTTTCGTGATGCAATTACAGTCACCTCACCGTATCTCTCCAAAAAGGCCCTGTAATTCTCAGAAACCACGAT